TGTCTGAATTACACTGTAATGAACATTAAGGCATGTATGTTCAGGTTTGTGCACGCATGTACAAATGTTTTCTGCTTTCTCAACCAAACACTCCTAAAATTTACCCCCATCATTTGAACAGAGGTGTGGACAGTGAGTTCTGTAGCACAAAAGCATATCTGACATGCAAGACAAGAGCTACACAATATAATTTTACCACCAACAAAATGCTCAAGCACAATTTTTTYTAAGATAAGAATCATGCAAGAAAGTGATTTAGTTTTGTAACCTACTGAATAGAAAGGCTGAGCAARTCAACTACAGGATGAGTAATACCATGGCATAATCATCAGACAATGCCAGAAAGAGAGTAAGAGGCACCACTTGTTTTAACTCCTTCAGGCCTCATCCCAAAGAAACTATGTGTCTAAGTGGCCTGAAAATTATAATAATAATTATAATAACAGAGAGTTATAATTTGGAAAACCATGATTGTTGGTAGGCTAAATATGCAACAAAACTAAGAGCTACTACATAAAATAGATAACCTGAAGAAGACAGAAGAAAAGCAGATACCATCAAGTGTGCAACTGTAATGGTATTCCTGCAAAATCCAAGACTCAGCACGTGACTTTAAAGYAGAGTACAGCAAGGCTGAAGACTCATCCACACTATCTGATGTTTCTTTAACATTCCCCTATTTTAAGAAGCTTAAAAGCATTACAAACTTGRGTCAACTCATAGAAAACAAAATACTGTAGGCAAAAAAAGTATTCAATTTGAATATTTATACCCACTTCTTCAAACCTAATCTAGCACTTACTGCTGTATAACTTCAAGTAACAAGAAAGCTAATAGAAGAAAAAAAAATGTAGCTCAAGAAGCAAGAAGAAGCCAGATGAAAGGAAAGCAGGCATTTGGAAATCTAGATTTCAATTGCTTGCCCACTTATAGAAACACGATTACATATTACAAAAACCCCACAAACCTCTCCTTTTTACCAAGTGATTAACAAAGATATAGTAATACATTCCAACTTATCCATGCAGTTGACTTGACTGGGACAGTCTTTGACAATCCTCTCATTTTCTGGTGACACAGATTTTGTCATTCTGATWTAGTCTTGTTGCAGCTTTGTAGGTTTTGGCACAGATAGGGACAAAGCAATATGGAATCTTTGTCAAATGCGTTACTAATTAGAAAATTAGTTCCCTGCAACTTGAAATAATTCACTCAAAATTGTGCATCCTACATTTGGAATTAACTGTTTTCCAGCTTTYATTAACTCTTTGAAATATGATAAACATAAACTTTCTAAAATTAAACATGATGAGCTCCACCCATATGTCTAACCAGAATCTCTAAAAACCATTCATTGCATACCTGAGCCATCACTGGAGACTGAACTTGCATTGATTCCAGAAAGGCCAAATAAGGGACATTCTCGATCAGTGTTTATATGACCCCACTTGTGGCATTTAATGCATCTCACATTCCGGACCTAAAGGCAACGAAGTCAATTGACATGATTTAGTCAACAATACAGTCTAACATTTACAGAAATATCTGTGCTATTAAGCATAAGAGAAGCTTTTAAACTCACTGAAAAARAGATGATAAAATTAAGAGAGTCCATATGAACGTGCTGCAGTTAGACAACATTTGAAATACACCCAAGACATCCACAGAGTGAAATTTATGTAACTTGCCTGGATACCAAATGGCTGATCTCTGATATTCATATCATCCTTAGCATATCTGTTACACAAATACAAAAGAAAACACATACTCAATTTGCTATTATTTTTTTTTTAAACATCATATACAATACTACTTTTTGTTGTTATGTTTGCACCCRTTTCAGAGGTATAATTCTTGTAAACATTGTTTTTAAAGCATTTTCAAATATGGATGTAAAAGTCAAACAAAAATAAAGCTGAGTAAGGAAACAGTTCCAGGTTTACAGGTTTTACTAATTAAGGATCAGGACATGGCAAGATTACACAAGTGTCCAGCTCAAAAATAAAACAGGGGGAAAAAAGGGGAGGAAAAAAAAAGTATATGAAAGTAAATAATATGAAAAAAATRCTCAGATAAAATCCAGATATCTTACTTTTCTCGCGGGGCAACTTTCTGCCATTCAAATTTGTATTCAGTCTCTCCTTCTTGCTATAAACCAGAAAACAGTTTGAATTTTTTCAGAATACATTTCAAGAAAATAAGAAGAAAACATAAAGAAATGATGTAATGAAATACCTCTTTTGTTTCCTCTTTGAATTTTCAGAAAGCATGCAAAGAAAATAAATGATACATTAATTTCATACATAAAATGCAGACRGTTTCCCTCCCCTAAGCTAAAGACAAAAGATTTTACAGTTTATACTAATCAATAGTGCAAATACTCAGGAAATAACTTTATTTAAATAGACTGCCCTTTATTATATAGTTACAGATGCTGTAAATSCAGAATCATCTTCTAAAAATATACTGATTTCTTATACTAATAAAAAACTAAACTTTTTTTTGCAACAGTAGCAACAATACTTACATTTAAGTTATTTTTTAAAAGAAGTTCAGCAAAAAATGCTACTTTCAAATTGTATTTCCTCTAAATTTAAGAGATTACTATTATAGGTTCTAAAATTAAATAATTGCAAAACTTCATCTACAAGAATGAGCTCATCCRAGCATTTCCAAGTGATTTGTGCAAAGGGGAAAGATGCATTTTAAAGGGAACCTGTTAACTCTTAAAGRGAATACATTTTCTTAGTTCTGCACTTCCATTCAGATTTTGCTAAAATAAAGTGACTGATACAAGTGCCCACTAGGTACTTACTAACTTCCATTTATGACACTACTAAACAGTCATAGTCAGACTCACCARACACAGGTCAGGCAGCACTTTTGAGTGAATCTTAGTATTTATTATTTTTGTAACTTCTGGTAATTTATTTCTTGCTCTGTAATTTCCTATGTTCGACAAGCATCAAGATGAATTATGGGCATAACTTATAAACAAAAGCAACCTACTATTTCTACAAAGGAGAGTGGGTCAAAATACAGGTTTGTGTTGTCTGAGTTATTGCCTTGGTAAGATCTAGTCCTCCTCATCCAATGGCTTTATAATTAGTCAAAGAAACACCCTTCATCAAGAACAGAATTTATGCTGTTTCCTGAAAAGATATTTTATCTGTTTTTTCCCTTCACACTGAACTGTTGCTTAAAAGAACCCCAACCATTCTCTTTGAAAGAAATTTAAGTTTTRTGAGAGCAAAATGATTACATTTTATACATATATATATGTATGCTTCCACATATTACCAGAGAAAGAATTAAAAAATCATACCTTCTATCATTACCTCACCATGAGTATGTTATTTTAAAATAAAATACATTGTGCTTATTTCTTCAAAAGGTTTTTAGCTTCGCAGTACTGTTTGCCCTCAATCAGGAAACTGCAATACCTTTCTTTGCTCCAGGTGGGGCCTCATACATGAAATTAAGACCATTCTTCACACGTTCATCTCCCATAAGCAACCTAAATAAAAAGGGCAGTTTGGGGTGTTACACACATAACAGTCACATTGGTAATACTCACAAAAAAAAGAAAAGTGCAATATGAAATCGTTGTGATAACTAGCATTTTTTAATTTCTTAATGCGAGTAACTAAATYTGAGTATCAACAAAACTGAGAAACCAGCCAATGCTTTTGCATGCTCCATTGTGTACTAAAAATCACACATTTCAATCTCAACTGGAATAACATTTCCAGAGTAATGAAAAACAGATTTCTACAAGGTTACCTACTGTTCYGTGCAATGTTACATTTTTTGAAATTAATTAGAAGTCACACACAAACCACTTTAAAAAACTTCTTGTGGCTTCTGCTTAATCAGACATCACTTAATGACTCACTGTCCCCTCCTACTACTACAGTCAATGAGAGACAATCCCTCAAATTGCTCACAGCGATATGACCTTCACTATGAAAACAAGACAGTGGGAAGAAGTACGTGATATTAAGCCAATCCTCACCTATTATCATAGGATTCCTGTTCTTTCAGATACTGTTGCATTAATTCTTCTTGTTTCTTCTTATCATATGAGATTTTCTGTTCTGCCATCCACACCTAGTTAAAATAATTAAATTTCTACTTTAAACGAAAAAAACAACTATTGTAAAATATATTCATGTATAAATAACTGGCTTACTCAAYTGAAAATGCTAAACGAGGGATGATYACCATTCTAATAACATAAAATATATTATTTTCAYCCAGCATTTTAACAAATTAACTTTCCATAGCAGCAACTTTGAGAAACTCCAAGCCCCGACAACATTTACACACTGAAAAGACAGGAGAAAATTTAGAAACTGAAAAGTAAGCTCAGAGAGCACMCTGGGAGTGCCACTGTCTTCCGTGTAGTGACCCTTCCTCGGCGAAATCTCAACAGACCCTAAGTCCCAGATCCCCTCAGGGACATAGTTCTGGGGAGGACACCTGCAACCAGGGCGAAGCAGGTCCGAAATATTAGGAAAACAAGGGCACATCGTGACAGGTGGGGTTTTCTTGGACGGTGCACAGTGCCTACTTATCCTGAGAACCAAGTGAAAAGCCTGAGCCCGGAAAATGCGACAGTCATACACACTTGGGGTCAAGAAAACCCGAAGCTTCAAGTATTTCTTAACTATTTTCCCTGTCTCCTCGTTCCTCTTTGCCCCAGCCCAGTGCCATTCCAGGCAGGTGAGGAGCACCGCTCGGGCCGCTGCGATGCCGAGAGCCCGGTCCCCTCCGGCCCCTCTCACCTTTTTGATGTTGGACTTGGAGGCGGGGTGGAAATCCTTCTTGCACATGAAGTTGGCGAACGACTTCCCCATGGCGGCGGCGGGGTGGGAGCCGTGGGCCTCGGCACGGACAGGGACAGGGACAGGGACGGGGACAGTGACGGGGCCGGGGCCGCCTGGGCCGGGCCTTCCGGGTCGGCGGGCGGGCCTTCCGCGAGCACCGCCTGCCCCGCCCCGCGCCGCTCCTGCCGCCGGGCTGGCGCAGCTCTGGGCGCACGGCCCTCAGCCCCTCAGCCCTCACCATGTCCCCCCGGCCGCCGCCCCGCTCCTGCGACACCTTCGTGGCGCTGCCGCCCGCCGCGCCCGGGGGCCGCGTGGTGTTCGGGAAGAACTCGGACCGGCCGGCGGACGAGGTGCAGGAGGTGGTGCATTTCCCGGCCGCCGCGCACCCGCCCGGCGCCGCGCTGGAGGTGAGGGCGCKGAGCAGGACCGTTCCTGCGGGAGGCTGCGAAAGCACCGCTGCCACCCGTTACCTGCGTGCTCAGCCCGCSGTTCGGCCGGGGGATCAGCGGGACGGTGACTCGGTGTGTGCTCTGCCCTCTTCCAGTGCACCTACATCAGCATCGAGCAGGTGGAGAGGACGCACGCCGTGGTGCTGAGCCGCCCCTCCTGGCTCTGGGGGGCCGAGATGGGCGCCAACGAGCACGGCGTGTGCATCGGCAACGAGGCGGTCTGGGGCAGGGAAGAGGTCTGCGATGGTGAAGCTCTCCTCGGCATGGACCTCGTGAGGTGTGCACAGGCTTTTACTTTCTTTTTGATAAATGGTATGTGATTTGGAATTTAGTGGAAACATGTGGTTTGAATTATATGGGGAAATATGTGCTTTCACTTTGAGAAGACACTTCTTCCACTGTTCCAGCCCTGGTTAAAAATTAGTATTTCTTGGCACAGGCACTAGACCAGAATCTGTCAAAAAATTAGCAAATGTTTTTCTTTCTATAAAAGTTATACTAAACTGAAAGACGTTCAAGAGCACAGGTGGACTTCAGGAACTACTGTTTCGGCCTTTTGCTTGGGTCTGTACTCCTTTCCTGTTCCCTCATCTTTCACGCATCAGCCCATTTCCATGTAAATAACAAGTTCCTGTTCCTACCCTATGGGTACCAGTCTAACTGTCATTAACCTACAGCAATCAGTCAATTCCTTCCATACAGTCCCCCCCCCCCCCCCCCATCCAATACCTGCATAGGACTTGTAAGCATTTTGTGGGAGCCCTCTCCCTGCCTTTCTGTATTTCCATTTCTTCCTATGTCAAGTACATGAGGACCCACTTCAAAGAAGCCCTTTATCTGACTATCAGGTATATATAGAAATATCATTCTAGGTCAGCTTGTATGTTCTGTGTGGAATTTATAGCTCCAAAAATAACATCTCCCTTTTGTTTTAGGCTTGGACTTGAGAGAGCAGACACAGCTGAAAAGGCTCTTAATRTCATAGTTGATTTGCTGGAAAAATATGGACAGGGAGGAAACTGTATGGAGAGCCACATGTCATTTACATACCACAACAGTTTTCTGATAGCTGACAGAAAGGAAGCGTGGGTGCTGGAGACATCAGGAAAGTACTGGGCAGCAGAAAAAGTTGAAGGTATGGATGATGCTCTTCATTGTAAACATTTCAAGTTCAATGRCCACTAGTAGTTCTCTAGTTTTCATTTACTACTTCATTAAGGCATCAAACTAACCTCTAGCTACATACATGTGCCTGTAAACAACAGGAATTGCTTCTTAGGGTGTGAGTGTAGAGTAGTTAGCAGTTTTTCGGAGAAGCTGAGTGAMAGGCCAGAGATAACCACTCCTACACTTGGAAAACAGAGGACAGCAAGAAGGTTGGCATGAGAATGACAGCAGTATTGGTGGTCTTAAGGATGGTAGCAATCCCTGACAATTTCATTTGGGGACAGGATTGATCTATTGGGCCCTGAAGTGGCTGATTCTTCCAGTGGACTTAGGAGGACAAGCTATATATCTTTGGAAGAAGAATGTAAAGGTGGGAATAATCAGGACCAGAACCTGAAATACAATGTTGGTAATAGAAGCAAGTAAGTCAGAAGTGAGTGGCAGTGGAAATTCAATCAGAAAAATACACATAGTGGGGAAGAGAGGGCCAGAAATAAACCACCGGACTCACAGATCTTGTAGGAGAAWCTTCAGTGCTAATTTGCTATACTAAGTTAATTGTAAACAAAATATCAAGAAAACTCCTTCAATGTATTAAAACAATTCTTTCCGCAACTTACAAACAGGAGGCATACGGAATATTTCCAACCAGCTCTCAATCACAACCAAGATTGACAGAGAACACCCAAAATTGAAGGAATATGCCAAAAGCAATGGCTGGTGGGATGGGGAAAAGGAATTTGATTTTGCTGCCACGTACTCTTATGTCAATACTGCCAGAATGACCACATCTGGAGGCCGATACTGTGAAGGCTATAAGCTTCTGAACAAACACAAAGGTATCCTTTGTATTTTTTTTTCAAGATATGCAAAGTATTTAGAGAGCTACTTTAATTTAAATCATAAATGATTATGTATCTGATGCAAGCAATCATTCACATGACTTGGTGAACCAGAATTTGCTAGAATAACTTTCTGCCTAAAAGAGAAGTGCTAAACTTGGAAGTTTCTGTCAATTTTTGCTAATTTATTGAGGAGGAATAATTGAAAAAAGGGTCAAATATGAAACATACAGAGCTATAGTAACAACACTGAGGGGTCACATTATAAGCCTCCCACTAAATGCCCTGTAAGACCTGTTCTGAAACATTTTGATAAGTTATATATTATTAATGTACTGCTAAAGAAAAAACCTAGAGGCTAAAACAGATTMCCAGTAGTTTGCAGCCACAAAGAACCTTATGAACAACTTCAGTCTCGTACCATTTATATAAGACAACAGCACAGCGTCAAGATACATATCTTGCATTTATTTTTGACATTGATTTTTAAATCTTTGTAGTTTCACTGTAATGGCTACTCCAATCTTGTGTGGTCTAATAATGAGAGCAGAACAAAATAATTTTCTGTACTCTAAGCAGTCACTAATTCATGCACTTACCTTTCAGACCTCTAGAGAAAGAAGCTATTACTTCTAACTGCGTCCATCTAGCAGGTTTTTGCTGTAGCTGTATTCACAAGCTCATTTGAGGTGATTAATCTGCACCCCTTTGTTTCTTTTACTTATTTGGCTGAACTCTGCCAGACCAAGTTTAGTATTTAGTTAATGCATCAGAGCGAATTACTTTTGCTATCTTGCTCTGGTGATCATGTAAATCCTACATTCATTTTGGGAATTGCAGGTTCTGAATACTCAAAGCATTTTCATAATACCTGTATTTACTTGTATTATAACAATGCTGAGATTGTATCAGTGTTTTCATTCTAAATCCCCATTTTCAGGCATTTAACTGAGCCATTTTAAAAATCCCACTAGGTGTTCAGGTTATCAGCCTCATATGGTTCACTTTGTTTAGATTTATTTTAAGTAGGGGCCCTGACAAAAAGTTATTTGGTTTACAGCATCAGTAAAATCACCGTTTTTTTCATCCATCCTTCCCTGCTTTTTTACTCAGTGGCATTACAGTTGTGTGGTTTTTCCAGGCTGCCTACTATATGAAGACCATTTTTAGAGAAAYACTATTTATATTTCAAAGACTAGGGAATGTATTTCAGGCAAACAGAATAATAAAATCTAGTGGAAYATATGCAGTACCTTCTTTTCTACTGGACTGGTTGCCAAGTTGTAGCTGACAAAATGATCATTGCTTCCTTAAATTTCTTTGATTCATCTAGTTTGCCAATTTCTTTAACTCTCCAGCCTTCCCAGCAATGGTGRGAATACGTGTTTTCTTGCTGAAATGTAGTGCTGCATGCCTGTCTACAGGCAACCTGGGGCATGCATGGTAAAATAATATTGGAGACACCTGATTTAGCAGCAGAGTAATTATTTTAAAAGGAAACAGCAAGSCAGATTTAAAAAAAGAATTTTTAGCAGTTAGAACTCACTAAGGGAAATACTAAAATATTAAAATGGTTGATGATACCTTAAAAAAAAAAAAAGTGCAGTTATGTTTTTCTGCCCTAAGCATACCCTCTACTGGTACATCAAATGTGAAAAGAAAACCATTCTGCAAGTGTTACCTGTTAGAATRTTGGTTTGGTAATACCATACCAGTGTCTGAGCTTCAGCGTGTGATGTACAGTAACAACAATATCATCTGAAGACTGGATGTAGAGGCATACATGGAAAGGGGTTTTTTTTTATCTCCTGAGCAAAGTTATTTCAATAGACACTTGGCATTGTACCTCACACAGGTTGCTGATTAAGACCTCTTTACAAATGGATGTACCACTGTAGTTTCTGAGCATAGAATATAATGCCACTGCAGTCCATCCTTGAAGCCTAGGTGCTCTGTAAGGTCAGAGGATGAAAATCTGAAAAAAAAAACCCCACAAACTATAGTTTCAAAGCAACACAATGGTATTAACTCTGTTCAAATACCTACCAGTATTATAATGATTTGTCTTAATTTCCACAAAGTGTGTAATTTTCATAGTAACTTTTTAATCCAAGCTACCAATTTTCATCTGAGGAGTTACTTTCTGAATGACCATTTGCTAGCCTAACTTACCTTCCTGGGAAATATAATTTTTCTTTCTATTCCCCTTTTTTAAAGTCATGTTATTACCACCTTTCTTTGAAATACTTTCGGGAAAGCAATACAAGTGTATTGCATATTAAGGTATGCCATTGGGATGATTTTTTTCCCCTGCCAACACAGACAAATTAAAACTGGCATTGCCTATTAAAGGAAAACGCAGCCCCTTGTAGGGAACACGTTATTCAGTTGGTATTATAAGTAGCTCTGTGGCTAAATAATTGTATTCTATCTTGAATAGGATCTATCACTCCTGAAATAATGATGGAAATTCTTCGTGACAAAGAAAGTGGCATTAACATGGAAGGTGGATTTATGACAACTGGCAGCATGGTGTCTGTACTGCCTCAGCAGCCTAATCTGCCCTGTATTCACTTCTTTACTGGAACTCCAGATCCTGCCAGGTGATGTAGCAGCAAGCAAATCGGAAAAAAAAAATCATAAATAGCTAAATGAAAAAGTGTTGCAGTTTGTCCAACTGTATTAATTTTTTGCTTTGGGTTTTTTTTTYCCCTGGAAAAGCACATTCAAAACGTAGGAGGAACATTAATGCACATTATGTACATTAATGGTACCTCCCAACCTACTTAATGAAACACTTCTATGACAAAGACTTTAACATCAGTTAGATGTTTTTTTAAATACTTTTGTTAAAAGAAGCAAGTAGAAGAATGAGAAAAAACACAGCAATTTCTGACTCAACAATTTTAACAAAACCATGTCAGTAAAGGACCTCTATTCTTTTTTCTCTTTCTAGGTCTATATTCAAGCCTTTCATTTTTGTGCCCAATGTTACTCAGTTATTAAAAACTACATCCCCTACATTTGGGCATGAYGATCCAGTTAAGAAGCAACCACGTTTTCAGAGTAAACCAGATCGAAGACATGAGCTCTATAAAAAACATGAAAGTGCTGCTGTAGTTATGGGAACTATCGAGGTACGTTGATTATATTAGATTTCAATGCAAGCAGGTGGTTTATATAAGGTCCTGGCTCACATTTTGTTAATTGATACCATTTAATGCCCTTTGATGGACTGCAAACAATGCAGTGTCCCAGAAGCCCAGTGTGTTGGCATCTGGCATGCACRTGTTTCAAACACTGAAAACTGCAGCCAGCACTGTGCTGTACTCGCAGGCTGAGCCCCAGCTAAGGATCTGTGCTGCTCACCTTGCAGAGCCACCCCCACCAGACAGGTAATGGGGAAATGCTTGAGCAGCCACCAGCAGACACAACTTCTGCTAGCAGTACTTACAACTATTCAGGACCCTGGTCTCAGCTGGAAAGCAGAGGTTGCCTTTGATCATTGTTCAGTATAGACAGGGAAGGAAACACCATGACAAAGATAGTTGAACACCAATGTGAAGGAGGAAGATAGCTACTAAATTTAACAGTAACATCTCTCCTATTTACAGATAGATGTTCTTTAAAATAAATAAGTCATATGCCCACTTAAGTTTTGGTAACTAATATCTAAATCAGCTTTAATTTTTTTCAATCCATTAGACTTGGGAGATGGAAGTGAGTGATATTARGAAAGATATCTAAGAAAACCTGTCATGATACTGACTTCTACCAACATAAATGTGTACCCTAGAAACTTAAAATATTAAAATAAGGACAGTACAGCAGAATTTTGTTAGGGTGATCACTAGGTATTCTGTATCGTTTTTAGTGAAATAAATGTTTCTTTTTGCAGGATAAAGGTAAAGAAATGYTGAAAGAGATACAAGAGTTGGAGAAACAGAAGATAAGTCAAATGGAATCAATCCTGCAAAATGGATGTCTTGATAATAACCAAGTGGTTAATCTTTTTTCACAGTGTGTAGAAGAAGAACTCAAAATATATGGCTAAGAATATTATTTGAATGTTGTAAAATTTTGATTATAATTAGGTTTTCTAATGAAAAGGCTATATAGATTAACATCTTGTTTTCAGTATACCACATAGCATGGACAATTTTAAAGATGTGGATTCGTATTCAGGACAAATGGCTTTTGATTGTAAGAAACAATGCTGAGAAGGCTCTTAAGAGCTAGGCAGTGGCTTTGTACATGGCACAAAGCTGTCAGCAGAGATTGATTTTGCCAGCAAACARATGCAATTAGAATGCAGTAGTTTGACTGAAGTGGGGAACAATCCCATCTCTGAATGAAGAACACTAACTYAGCCTTGGAGAACTCCGTTCTAGTGTACACACACATAGCTTTTATAATCAAGAGAACTGTAGCAGAATTTCAGACTACCTGGATTAAAATGGCCATGGTGAAAACTTTCTAAAATGTAGAAGCTATTATAAACAYCGAAGAAAAAGGGAAGTGATACACAAGTCTAGTATGATTGATACTCAGTTGTTCAGTAAAACCATTTAAGATACATTTCATATCTGAACCTTCTACTCCTTCCATGTAAAATGAGGCAGAGAATTCAAGGTACGCTATAAACAAACCGCAATTGTAATTTTGCTCTGAGTGGTTGTGAAATCTTACTACATGGAATTCAACAATGCAAGCATCCTGTAAGTTACTACACAGATTCCACTTCCCTATTTGCCCTCCCCTATAGTTTATAGTGAAAAATAAACTTATTTATGTACAAGATGATTATTGTCAAATTAATTCTGCAGTGCACTTTATAACATCATGTGGGAGTTCTAAAATGTTTTTCGAATTGTTTATTTTTAAAATTGGGCAACTAGAAAGGAAGAGGTCGGGGTACACAAGTATATTTATGTACTCAGTGGGACACTTACAAATACTTTTTTTTCACTTCATATAAAGCCTTTTAAACCCTGACTTGTTTTGCCAAARTTACTAGACTATGGACTTTTTGCCCAGGAACTCATCCTTCCTCATGCTGTTTAAAAGTAATGATGAACAATGACACTGCTTTTATTATCTGTGGCAAGGGACAAACTGAGCAAACAACAAAGAAGACTCTGATTTTACCGCGTAATCAATAGGTCAGGATAACAAGCATGACTGTAAGGAAAAACAAAAAAAGGCACTCAAAACTCAGCACTTTGGCAAACCTTCAGAAGTAAACTTGTCATATGAAATGGTGAATTAGAGCTGCAGCAGCAGTAKTGGATATGACACTGCATCCCCAGAAACACAGCAGACCACAGAAACATCATTCGTTGATGATTTTTCACATGCAGTTTCCTCATTTTGTAAACTGTTCAATACYCCACTGGCAAAAAATGGTAAATATAGACAAAATAAATAGTCAATGAAGTCAGCGGAATTAATATGAAAATTAAAGAGCTTGGCAGAATTTATTCTTTSTGATCCTAAAGTAAAAGTAGAAATTAACTTGGGATGCTGTGTTCAGATGCACATCAAGAAACTGTCGAGTTAGGAAAGGCTCATGAACTTTCTAGTTCTAGTGGCCTAATGTGTACCACGTAGCAGTAGCAAGAAGAGTGAGTGGGAGGTAAGACAAAGTGTGTTTGAGTTGACTGTGGACATTTTGTGCCTGTGTTGACAACAAAATTTCTTACAAGTTCAACAGCACAGTGGGTCAATACAGAAGTTCAATAGTCCAGTTTGTTAACTGGAAGATAGATTTAATAAAAATTTGCTCTGTTTATCTGTTTTCCTTATGGATMTATTTTTTCCTATTTTGATCATGAACTACACTAACTCTTTCATAGCTTCAAAGCCTCAGTAAATGCCAGGTGGAACTATGCTGGAAAMCAAGGTATGAATCAAGTTTTCAGGCAGCAGAGCAAACCAAGTGTAACAGTTTTATACTACAGTGCAAATATTGAAGCTATACAGGAAAAACAACAATGAAGTTGGAGCAGGCTTTAAAGTGAACTTTTTGGCCACTTAATGATGGTGTGGCCATTAACTAGGTTGGGCATTTTGGTCCACTTAGGCAGATAAAGTCTAACTGTGCCCATATTTACCTGTTGCTTTTTTTGTACCGGTCTACAAGATACAAAGTAAAAACAATGTAATAAGTGGAGACAGTTCARTGATGGCTATCAGAGTACAGGGTATTTCAGTACCTTTTCCCTTGGGATTTCATCCTCTTAGAATACACGCAATGTAAAAACAGAAAATCAAGATGGGATGAGGAGAAATAAATAATCCCTCCCACAATCATATTAAAAAAAAAAAAAAATCAGAATGTCCCCTAGAGGGCAATCTTTATATGGGTTTCRCCTAGGAATGCATCTTGCAGCTGTTTTTAAAAGCTTTATGAAGGATCATTATTGAAATTAAAAAAGTACTAAAATTTCTTACTAGAAAATYGAGTGTTCTATCCATCCCAGTTCATTATGACAATTATTTTGAGATTAGTCCTAGAAAAAAGATCCAAATTTTCACTGGACATTCCTCYAAACTTGTTCAATAGAWAYTTTCATGGAACTTAGCTTCCAAGTTARGAGATTTATCCCAAACTAACCCACMTTCAAAATRAARGAAGTCATTCCACGACTGASCACTTCTTTAAAGCAAAGCTATTTCTAACTACCAGAAATACACACAACAGTACATCAACTATTGACATAACGTCAGCTTGTCAACTATTCAAAACTTGTCAGTGCTCCTTGGTGGAAGCAAATATTTTCCAGATAAAAGGGTTACTTAAATTTCTAAAGCAATTCAAAGTCTATTCTTGGCTTCCAGAAGTACCAGTGATTTAAACCCAAAATATTATATGCTGCATTTCATTCCTAGCTTCTTTATTTATTAACCATGACAGTCTCATCACACTAATGGGGTATGGTATCAGCAGTCATAGTGTTGTAGCAGTAAATCCAASAGAATTTGGTGTTGGTTGATAATTAAAGGTGTTCGCTATATTAGATTTGTAATGGTGAGCTTTTTCTATGAGGAAACTTTAAGCAATTTCTTACTTAAAACAGATATGTTGTGTTAAAATCTAGGAGGAAGCAGAACCATTATAAAAAGGAAAGCAGGACTTTTATAATGAAAATGAGAAAGGCAAGAGTGCAAGAACAATGACTATAAACAGAACTGTAAAACTACCCGAAGATCAAATTCTTGAATGTTTGAAGAATTTAAAAAAAAATTGTATTTGGTAAGTAGATAATGYGAAACACTTCTGGTATGGATGTATCTTTGGGTGGACACCCATTAACAAGTGCTCTGCCTATCTAAAAAGGATCAAGGGTGGATTTAAGGAACACCAGGATTGAAACCCAAGAGCCRTGTTAACAAATCTCTCAGAAAAATAAATTTGTCATAGACCTTGAGATGCACACATAGCCCTCTCACACACCACATCACAGCTCACAATTCTGAAATCAAGAAACAGATTTATTGACAAGTTGCAGTATTTAGAAGCCAGACATACTCACRATTTCTGCTCTTAAGTCACATATATCTAATTATTCCAAAATATTTGATGCAGCTGTCTTCAACATTCATAGTGGAATCACGTTATTTTCTTTGCAGCCACAGTCTGGTACAAACATCAACTATTTTGTTGATGGAAAACATYAAAATAAACCAGGTTATATAGTATACATATGCAGCATGATGTTATGTTTCTGTGCACAYTGCAATAAGACTGACAGTAAAAGGAATTAATTTTTCAATTTAAGTCTTGCAGGGAATTATAGCAACCATAAAACAATTGCTTGTTGAATAGTAGCTTATGCTGCTAAAATCACTTGTAGTTCTTAATACAAAGTAGATGCAAAGTAGATGTAATAAAAATCTGTGTACTAAAAAAAGGAAAAAAGAAGGGAAAGAAAAAGGATGACAAGTTATTCATATGCTTCAGCAAATAATTTTTAATACCTGGATTCCTTTCCCTCACTACATAAAATTTTTATACAGACATATWAATGCTGTTCTTGCAGTTTTAAAAGGGCAGCATAATGGCTATCAGATAAAATACTTTTTTTTAATCTTTTCAAAATACTGCAGAAGACACACGGGTTCTCAGATTCTGCCTTTAGTGCACAGGAATCTGAATGATACTAACGTAACTATTTAAACATTCCAGGAGGATACCTGAGGTTTATTAGAAACCTGTGTTAGGCAATCAACTAAAATCTAGGATCTTTAGCTACTCTAAATCCTAATTTGGATGTTCATTTAGGATTCTTTATATAATAGATTTAAGTCATTAATTTAATTTAAAAAGTTTTATGATTTGAAAAAGAATTTTGTCTTGACTTGCACATGTATCCAAGGCTTCCATRAAACTTTACTTGAGGCTGGCACTTCTGAATGTAAAAATCTGCTCTTGATAAAGCTATTACTACCACCATAAGGCAAAATTTCAGAACAAATTAATTAATTAAATAATTTCCTATTTTGGGAGACTGGTGGGTATTTTTATGGTTTTAAGATTTGGTAGGTTTGGACAAAACCAGTACTTATTCCACTCAATATTTGCTCAGCCTTAATTGCCTGACATTGGAACTATTGTCACAACAATTCTATCTTTGTAAGTGGAGTATTTTGTCTTTAAGGAAGAAGAAACATACCTGATCTGAGGTGTAAACAGCTAAAAAAATTCCAGGTATTAGACAAGAGCAGAATAGTAAAAACTGAGGTATGACAGAAGAAATCCTATTTCTGTGAAGTCAGGGGGAAGCCTGACTATAAAGAGGCATCAATACTTCATCAAACTAAAATATGGRAAACATCCAGCCACATGAAAAATACCTTTCATGGGATTTTTTCCCTCATTATGGCATCAGTCATTAAAGCTGCAGTTATAATGCCTTTAAAATGCAACAGTGACACATATCATTTTACTATTTGTTTTTGCTCAAAATGGAAAAAAAAAAAAGCTCTAAACCCAGAGCATCTGGTTTTGTTTAGTTGCATTCTGGCTGGAATGCTGACTAAATATAGCTTGCTACTATTTTCTTCAGAATAGACACAAGTAGAACCACATCTCTAAATTTTACAAGGCAGAATAACACAGTTCTCTGAGATAGAAATACTTCCAAATTCAGCAGTGAAGGCAGAGAATGTGGTCACCCCTAAGTACCTGTCCTTTCCCTACATGCTCAGGTCAATGGCTCTCAGCTGCAACAGATTTCTTAGGAATGAAGCGGTAATAAAGGTATTCATCACGAAACTCAAATTCATTTGTGATGTGCTGGACGACGCCTCCCTTCAGCAGCCTGTCCCCGTACATCACAGCTTCTCCACGGTCCGAGGCAAGGCCAACTTGCATCAGCCAGTTCACCAGATCACAGCCAAAGAAGATGCCGGTGGAGATCTTTGCACCACACCTGTATGTCAAAGGAATGATTCACCCACATGTTCTGTAAATCTGGTATCACCACTGCACGATGGGGAAAGGCAAGGAAAAATAGCAGGAAACAAGGAAAGACATCATGATAGTTAAGAGCATGTTAGAAGAGAATTTGCAAGTTTTGTCCATTAGGGACATGCCAATGTTCACTACCTTTTCCTACAAACATTTCAATGAGAAGGAATATGGACATACAAAGTTGTTTTAGGCTTGTGCACGAAAAATTCAGCGGACATCAATAGCGTTTTTCCTAAAAACTCACACAATGTAATTCCATTTCTTGGATACTTACTTCCCATGTATTTCTAACCATGACCCTTTCTGCAAAAGTATCTGATCTGAGAGCAACCTGTGTGCAGGGACTCAGAGACTCAGTTTGAATTTTAACTCTTTTTATAATTCCTGAACAGTTTTTAACAGACACTAGCTGCTTATACACATTGTAAACAAAACCCATTTATAATTTGCATGTCCGTTAAATATTTACCACACACGCAGTACTAAGAATAAACAAAACCTTTACAAGAAGACTAATTTTTTTTATGATTTATGAGGCAATGCTGCTGTCATATACTTAGTTTCAGTAAACATACCATGAAAAAATTTACCTGCAGCAATGAATGTTTCTGGTTATCTAAAATCTACTCTGTGGAATCCAAGCACAGTTTCTAAAGGTGATTAAGAGCTAAAAGACAGCATAAGCAAATTTTTTCCTTTTTTTTTTTAAGTTAAAAGCAGTAAGTAACACAGAGCAAGTGCTAACATCTATCAGCAGATACAAAAATGAAGTAAATTAAAATCCATGGTTATAAGCTCTCATTTACAGCATATTTAAATCAAAGAGGATAGGATCAAGTTAGATGAATATTTAAAATGAGAAGATAAAAGCACTGTTTTAAATCACAAGAAGTAAGACACGAACCAAGTTCTGCAGAAACGTAATATTACAACAACGAAGCAACAAAGGTCATATTTTCATGTATTATCAGGTGGATATATGATTAATAAAAACCACTAAATCCAACTAAATGAACAGGCCAAAGCCCAAGAAACCACAATAGCAGCAGAGGCACAGGAAACACAGCTGTAAAACCAGTTCTATTTCACAACAAACATCTTTCTGATATATTTTTCTTATGGAACATTTCTGACTTCTGAAGAGACTGAACAAAATCATGACACTGTCTGAAACAGTTTTAGAATGTGGTTTTAGACTACTTGACCATTAAAAGTCCACCAGATTCTGCCAAACATAAAAGCTTATGTGAAAAGAAGAGTCAAAGTGTCCTGTT